GAAGAGGCCATGAGATCCTCCTTCTTCTCTGCCATAGTAACCAGTAAGTCACACCCTACTGAACTTTTCTGGACTGTCAATCACTTTGTCAACCTAGAACGTCTCCTCAGCTCCACAGCCCAGTACCACTCATTTCAAGGGACTGGTACCCATTTTACAGAGATGATCTTCCACGTCCACTATGGCCTCTGTGGCCATGAGGGATAACACGACATCCTCCTTCTCAGAATTCTGCCCATTCACAAAACCAGAATCTCATAAACACTAGAGGAAATCTGAGTCTCCACCTGTGACCCTGATCTTTGATCTTCTTGGCTGCTTAAGAGCAGTAAGAGCACCTAGAACCTCTACTAAAAAAATATTGTCATCAACTCTTTTGAGGAGAGAAATCTTCCCTCCCATTCTTGACCATGCAGCTATCTGACCAGACTACTTAAGAATCCATTGCTTGTTGCAACCAATCTTACAATCTACCACCGAATATCATCTGGTTTCCCATTTCTGAGCAACCTCATCCAACTTCACCATTTCATTGGTGATATCCAGCTGGGTTTTCACACACAGAACAGAGATGGCACTGCTGAGACTGATGCGTGACCTCCCCTAGTCCATGGAGGAGGGGACTTTTATTGTCAGGGTTTGCAGAACAGGGACTGATCTTTCTGTTTTTGGAGTCAATAGTACAACTTTGACTGATTTCACGACAGAGTAAGATCAGGTCTTCAGAGATCACTGTGTAAAGAGTTACTGATTATCAGTACTGCAGGAGGCTACTAATGATGGTTTATTATTATTTCTTGTAATCCTCACATGGGGTTTCTCAGTTCCTGGAACGCTAGTCTTGGCCTCTCAGGGCCCTGTAACACTGCCTGCGGTGACACAAGGGTGTGAGTACCAATCTGAGGGCAGACTGTTAGGAAGCAGGGCACAAACCTCAAATTGGTTGTGAGTTCTATTCTTAGATTTCACCAACCAATTATCAAATGTAAACTCCTCAGGCATTGTAACAGCACTAACATGGAGTTACAAACAGTCCGCTAGGGTACTCCAATCTATCTTGTGTACCTTGGTGATAGATGGCCCTTATACCAAAAATTTCAGCAATATTCAGGTTATTCCCAGTCCCAAAGGACCAATCCCTTTGCCAGGTCAATGGCCCTTTCGATCTGACACCAAAGACAAGGCTTGTAGCCAATCCCATACAAGCTTCTATAATCAGCAAGCACTAAATGTCCTTTAAGGCTAATCCAGTCTAAGCAGCTGGGGATCTCTAGCTCCTGTCTATATCTCCTTGGAGCTTTCTTCTTCCGGCACAATTTCCTTTCAACCAATCAGAAGGGGTCTCTTTCAGTGGGCTCCTGAAGAATGTCTGTTGTTTCTGTGGAGTCTGCTGGCTGGGTCAGACTTTGCCCACTCTGTTCTGATAGCGAATTCATGACTGTCACAACTCTTCCAGCGTCAGCTTCAATCAATACATCCTCAGTTTTGGGGGGCAGCCAAGCTCAAATTCGATTCCCCTGATACATTATCAGATGGTCGTTATGTCAATAGTGCCCCCAGTCTATAAGCAGTAGCATCTGTGTCCAATAGGAAAGGGGGGTTGAAACATGGAGAGGCCAAGACAGGAGCAGTCACAAGAGCCTCTAAAAATCACGCCCATGATCACCAAGATGGTTTCCCTTTCTCACCCAACCTATGTAATACTTCCTTCTTGACCAGAATGTACTAGATAAGCTGGTTCACATTTTGCAACTATGGTTTCCTCTTTTACTATTTGCTGATTGTCAGAATCATTCGGCAAAGAACAGTAATCGTTTCCTGCTTCCGATCCACATGAATTTTAGCAACTAAAATTCCCCCAGAACCTTGGGTCTCAAAGCTCGTCTCAACCACACTCCGTCTTTTCCTTGCTGAAAAGCGAGCACAGCATGTCGCTGTTATTTTTGCACCTAGAGGCAGGACAAATTGCTCACCGCAAACCAACTGCCACAAATCATTGCTTTCAGCTGGGCCACAACTTGAAAAGGAATTACCACAGGCTGTGTCACACTGTCCAGAACGGCTCACAACTGTGAATGCCGACCTCAGGGCAAACTGTAGAAAAAAGGCAGACACTCCAAACTGGTGGTATGTTCTATAATAGATTTCAACAAGCCAGTAACAAATGTGAACTCCTGGATCGCGATACCAGTCCTACCTGGGAGTCACAGACAGACTGGAGAGTCCATCTTGCCACCCAGACAAACTGAACTTTGTGACAAAAGTGGTGTCACTTACACCAAACATCACACCATATCAGGTTGTTCCTAGTCCCAAGAGACCAGTCACTTAGCCCATATCAACTGGTACTCTGGACTTTACACCAAATACAACACTGGCAGCCAATTTTATAGTAAACTAACTAAAGGTTTATTGACTAAGAAAAGGAAATGAGAGCAATTGAGAGGATAAAGCAGGTGAAATATATTAACAGGTGAGTCACAGTTTGTAATTCCAGATTGTGGCCATGATGTAATAAACTGCCAGTTTCCTAAAAGTCTTTTCAGGGTACCCAGATTGTCTCTGGGGATCTCGGCTTTGCATCTGGTACATGTCCCTGTAAAAGTCCAAACAGTCAGAGATAAAGGATCGTTCCCTGAATCCATATTTACAGATTCTTCAGTCAGAAAATAGGCTGACAGCTTCTACCCACATGGGCTTTTCCTCTGATGACAGGAAGTGAGAAATGCCTTTAGAGTCTCTGACCTCTGGTCATTATATACAATGGCCACTTGCTTTGAAACTAGCATTTCACAAGACTTCTTTGAAATGAATGAAATATAAAATCCCTCTGGCTCATTGTGTGTGAGATCAAAGACCAGTGCATTCCTCTTTTCCCGCTATGAAGAAAGAACCTATGTATGGCCATCCTGACCACTTGGTTTCTGTGAGAAGAAGCTATAAATATGGACACAAGGAAAAATTCTTCATCTTTTGACTGTTTGAATTCTTATTTTTTTAGAGAGGAGGTGGAGTGATGAGGAAACTGAGGAGCACTCTAGCAAAGGGAAAATTCACAAGTTGAGAAAACAAAGATAAACTAATACACCTTGCCTGGCTGTTACTTACAAGTTTGAAATATGAGAGACTTGTTCAGAAAGATTTGGAGAACATGGATTGATGTCCGGTCCCTCTTAGTCCCAAGAGCGAATGACCACAGAAACAAAGAAGCCAAAAGAAAGCCTCTTCCCCGCCCCCACCCCGCCAGATTTGAAAGTATCTTTTGTCCCCATTGGTTCCTTTGGTCAGGTGCCAACCAAGTTACTTGAGCTTCTTAACCCCTTACAGGTAAGGAGGAATTTTAGGCTACCCTTATGGTTATGACACACCAATACAAATGAAGACAGATCCTGCATTAAGATCTGCTAATGCAGAATCCCTCAGCCATCTTACCTCTCTGCTCTGACTCTGTCTCCCACCCGTCTCGCCCCAGTCCCAGCCCCCGCCCCCTGCAGCCAGCCGAGAAGCTGCCAGCCTACCCAACCTGTCTCCTCCTACCGCCAAGTCAAGAAGCTGCTGGCCTGCCCAGGCTATCTCCCCCCAGCCCCCTGCAGCCAGCCTCTGTCCCTGCTAGATCCAGCCCAGCTCCCTCTTCCCTGGAAAAAGGCACACCGGCCTGCAGTCAGAGACATGCTGGGAACTGCAGCCATCACATTCTGAAAACAGCTGAACCAGCTTCCAGCAAACAGATGATTGGCCAGATGGGGAGAGCTGATTGATTTAGTCACAGAAACCCATTCTAAAACTACTGGGCCCTAAATCCAGAGAGTGCCTCTTGACGACAGCAGGGCTCCAGAGGTGGGAAATGCTTTTAGGAGCACACCAATGCGAACTTGCATTTGAGTCAGGGCTGTCTCCTAGGGGGGCAGATACATTGTCCAGGCTGTCCTGGTGTAAAGCAAGCAGGAAACATCACGTGTTTGATACGCTTTACCTAAGTACTGTGCTCAGATAACAGTAAGAGTAGAATCTAGAAGTTCATCTTGTAGGCAGCCTTAGCTATTGTGACAAAGTCAGGCCGGACGGCTGCAAGATGGTGGGGAAGGCAGAGGTGTAAGACCTAGAATGTTAAAGGCCCTCTTCTCTATAAGGTGATAAGGGCTTACATCAGGTCTATTAGGAACACATGGAGTCAGTTAAGGGCTGCCTGAGACCTTTTAAAACCAGGAGGGAGAGGGAGACGGAAAAAGAGACAAGCCACTACCAGGCTAGTGGCAGCGGGGAGAAAGCTTTGCCAGGACGGGAGGCTGCGCTCCTCCCCATAGGGGAAGCAGACAAGCCTAAGTGCCTTCTAGGGGAAGAACCGACACCCTGGGGCAGACTACAGGGCAACACCCAGCCCCAGCAAGGAGGCAGGGGAAGCTATCACCCTTTGTTTTTGTGTTTATGGGACTATTCCCTTCTGTTTGGTGGAGGATCATGCTACAGGCCTACCCTGAGGCCTACTCAGGAAACAGCCAAAGAAGCACAGAAGGGGAGAGGACAAAAACTGCCCAGAGTGGGGTGGGGCTGATTTACACCAGGCCCACCATCGCCTGGTGGGGAAGTGCTTGACCTGGCGAGACAAAGGAGATGCCTTGCCACACTATTCCCCAAGCCACAGAAGAACCTTTCTTGGGAGAGGTACAGAGAACTCTTGGTAGATAACTGTTACTCACTGCATGGTAGTCATTCCAGGAGGACTTATGCCAGTGTGGTTGGAGAAGTGGAAAACAGGACATATTGGTATAATTAAGATTATACCTGGGCTCTGGCTATTGGGCCGTGCTGCCCTGTAGCAAAGGGCTGCTACATACTCTGGCTATTGGGCCACACTGGCTGTGTGACATAGACTCTGGCTATTAGACCATGCTATCCTGTAGTGAAAGGTTACTGAACTCTAGCTGTTCAGCCATGCTGCCGTGGAGATGGGGGCAAGTGCCTTTGCCCTAGGCCTTGGACTGTGGCCAAATGTTACTTACTTCAGTCTCTGTAATTTGCAGTTCGGGTGTTTCAATCCCTCACACAGCAGCCGCACTCCGGAATCTCCCAGTTCGTTACCCCCCAGGATCAGCTCTGTCAGGCTCCGGCTGGTTGTGAGAACAGCAGCGAGATCCCCACAGGCAGCGGCTGTGACACGGCACGAGTCCAACCTGCAGGAGAGAGAACGCAGAAAAGGGGCATCACGGTGTGACCGGGCTCGTCACAGCTGGTCTGACAGATGGCCCCACCCACAAGCCCCTCTCTCTGACCAATCAGCATCCAGGAGGATACAGACTCCGTCCCAAGCTCCACCCCTTGTCCAGTGAGAGACCAGCAGTGGGTGGGACTTCCTGTCTAAATTCCACCCCTTGCCTTTTACCCTTCACCAATCAACAGGAAGAATGATCAAAGCTCTGCCACTGACCAATGAGGAATAAGGTTTGGGGTAAGAGTTCCTTCAGAAGCACCGCCCCCTCACCCTTTCCACTGACCAACCAGAATTCAGAATGAGTAAAAAGTTGTCCTTTAAGTCCTTCCCACTCAGCTCTTGACCAATCAGGTTGGATTTGGAACTGATCAGCCCCGGGATGGTGCGACCCAATCGGAGCAGCCCCATCGCTCCAGGGAGGTTGTAGGGGGAGCCCTCCCTCCCCCGCCCCAGGCAGCTGGGCCAGGCTCAGAGCAGGCGGAGCTGGGAGATCCTGACCCTCCGCGCCCCCGGCACTAGCTCTGCTGCTCCCCTGCAGGACACAGACGTCTCCTGTCTCTGCCCCCCGCTCTGAGCCTCAGGCCTGGGGAGGGGAGGCAGCTGCGAGGCCCAGCACTGGCAGCATCACACCCACCTTCCTCTGAGACCAGGGACCGAGCGGGGGAGACAAAGAGGAGAAGATCCCCCTGGCAGGGGGTTTCCCAGGGTTTGGGGAAGGAAGAGTCCCTGAAAGGAGGGCGACTGTGTGACCCTGTTATAGGGTTGCCAGGTGTCTGGTTTTTTACTAGAAAGTCCAGTTGAAAGGGGACCTGTACAGCGTCAGATGTACTGACCGGACACAAAAAGTCCAGTTACTGCAGGTGCTGGGGAGGGTGGAGGGAGGTGACGGGTTGTCAACCCACGCCAGGCCCTGCTCATTCAAGGCCTCCTCCTCCATTCATCTTGTGGGCAGGCAGGCTCCGCATCATGGGCTGCAGCTCCTGTCCCAGCCCTGGGAGCACAGGGAGCCAAGCTCGGGGTTGGGGAGTGGGGAGGGATGAGGAGGTGGAGAGGATTGAGTGATGAGGAAGGGGGAGGGGGAAGAGCAGCCAGCAATGGCGGGGAGGCTGGGAGAGGAGTGAGCGGAGTGGCCTCCAGGGAAGAGGTAGAGCAAGGGGAGGATCCACCACTCCTGCTGTACTATCTGTTTGTCGGAAAATAGAAAATTGGCAACCCCACCCTGTTGGTAGGGCTTGTTCCAGAGTCTCTGGGGGGTTTATAAAAACAGAAGTTTTGCTGGTTTCTGTAACTCACCTGCAGTCTGGGCTCCCGATGGAGCTGCCAGCCAGCTGACTGGGTAACCATGGCAGCAGGCCGGCTATGACCATGTGCACCTCAGGGACCACCCCCAAGCAGGGCTGTCTTTGTCCTCCTTCAAGGCCTCACAGCGAGCCCCCTGCACACCCAAGCATGAGCCCTCCCCACCCCAAAAGCTGCTAAATCTTACACACATCAAGACACTCCTCCCACCAGAACTGTCACCTGCACGGCCTCCTTCATCACCTCATTTGCCTTAAAAATATTGTTACTCTGCCAAATAGAGAAGGGAACCCCAAAATTTGGGAGAGAAAAAGACCCTGAATTTGTACAAGGGAGAGAAGCCCCCATGCCTTGGGGAGCCCCCAGGTTCTGTAATGGTTTATAGAACCCCAAGATATTTTGGAGGCAGGAAGAGAGGAGTCTGCAATAGGGGTGGTGGGAGAGATTCTAAGATTGGGTTGAATAAGGGGAGGAAAAAACCAAAAGGTGTATGTGGGAATCTTAGGGGATGAACACTAATTTGGGGAGGGGTGAATAGGAGAGGGCCTCCAAGTTGAAGGAGAAGAGAAGAACCCCACAAAATTTACGGGTTAAAAGAGAGAGAGAGAGAGAGAGAGGAGACACCTGAGAAGGTGAGGAGAAAGAGACCCCATGGCAAGACGATCCCAGTGCCCTGATACGGACACAACCTACTCAGTTCTGAACTAAAATGATGCCAGATTGGAACCTCATGGTACACACACATCTCTTTCCTTTGACAACCCATTAGGGGACTCAGACCCAAATCTCTTCATATCACAATCCCAGCTCTCCCAAGGTGCTCCGATATATTCATTTGCCATTCAATATAGCTGCACTTAATACCATTAATTCAGCTGGACAACATACAGATAATTCTCAATGAGCATTGCCAGCTCTAGGGGGGAAGAGTTACAGTTGCATGGGCATTTACCTTAACTCTGTATTTCCTTATTTTCTGAAATCTGATTTTTGCTGAACTCCATATGCTGGAAGGTCACAAGCTAAAACCAGGCAACCTTAACTCTGTGTTAATTAAGTTTATGCCATTCCATTTAGACTGTAGGATCTTCAGGGCAGAGACTGTCTATGTGTACTGTTTCTCCTTCTTATGACACCAGTGCCCCATTCTGACTTCAGCCTTACCCCTCTGCTGAGCAGTATTAAATGTCCACGGCCTTGCAGATCAGAGGAGCAATCAGTGATGAGACGTCTGGGTGCACTCTAAGTGTAGCTGTAACTCTTCTGCTGCTCAAGCAGCTCCCTCTCCCCCAAAGCTGCCTTTGCAGAAAACCTTGCATAACCTAAACACTGCATGTCTCCCCAAGACTAAAAGCTTGTTTACATCCTAATAAAAAAGAATTTGGACACGTTTCTAACAGCACCACCTGGGGGCACCTGCCATAACAACATGTCCATTGCCTAGCACAGTGAGGCCCTGATCTCAGCACAGGCATTTTACCACTACTGCAACACCTTAATAATAAATAATACTATAATTATTCTAAACAAAATGTGGATTTTTTTCTGCCACCACCAGAGTTGTCAGTGGTCGACTGGAGGAACAGAGAAGCTCATTGGAGCAACTTTACATTGAGATATTGGAACCCAAACAGGAAAACGCCCCCACCAGCATAGTGGTGGCTAATAAGCGCCGCCGCCTGGACTATGAAACTGGTGGGTCACGAACCATGACTAAGGGACAAACACATGGAACATCTGTTTACCAAATCAGTACTGTATTTGGTGCTCAACAGTGAGATGCAAGAGCCTGTTCACCGGTAAGTTGTGGAAGAGCTTCTGTAAAAGTGCCAAATTTGGTAGCTCAGTGGCCGGAGTGCTTGACTTCAAATTGAAGATTTGGTGAAAGACCTCCTCATGCACATTTGTTTCTACTGTAAACTAAAAAATCACAAACTTAAATCTTTATTTTTAGTCTTTACTTGAAAGTGGTCACAAACAAGTAATTTCTGCAGAAATACGCCTCTTCTCATGTTCTGTTTTGGCACATGCCTCAAACCTGATATTGAGAGTAAGCAAGGTGGAGAAAAATGGATGTTACTTTTAATGAAAGAATCAAAAGACATTATTTGTTTGATTTTTTTACTTAAGTCAGATTAATTTAAATAGGATTTTTATTTAAATTAAATATAGTTTGCTTTTAAAACAAACTTATTTAAAATTAAATTTGAAATTATAACATCCTGTGTTAAGGCATACATTTACTATAATCTGTATATAAATAATTTAAATTAAACAAAATGAATTCAAGAAGTATGTGTTTGCCGCTGAACTGGTGGAAGTCATCAGCTCAGCACCTGGAAGCCCTGAGAATACCCTCTCAAGATATGGATCAGCTTCGGAAGCCCCAACTCCCTACCTGTAAGGTTCCTGGCTCACTGTCTGTTCCCAGGGCTTCTAGGTTCCTGGCTCCCCATCAATCCACTAGAATTGGCAGGGAGCCAGAAGTCTAGAAGCCAAGGGAGCCATGGCTGAGCTAAAAGAGTGGTTTTCAACCTTTTTGGTCTCAGGACCCATTTGTAAACCCTGATGGCCTATTGCGACCCAGTAAATAGCTTTAGTGCAAAAATGTCAGGCTTATGAAATATTTCTAGCCCATGATATAGAATACATACATTAATATAATAAGTACTAAATCCAGCAAATATTAAAATACAGCACTTAAGTATGTGTTATATAAATCCTAAGTTCCGAGCAATGCAACCTGTCAAAAGGTTGCATAGGAAACCCTGAGCTGGGGTGGAGGGGAATTTTGTCCTGCCTCTAGAGGGTGAGGGGTCCTGGGGGGTGTAGAGCCCACCATGCACTCACTCCACAGCAGTAGCTCCTGCAGCTTCAGACCCACGGGGCTAACTAGCTCCCTGATCTGGGTGTTGCAACCTGGTGCATGGGGTCACAGTGCCACCACTGAAATTTGAGTGAGCTCCCTGTCATGACAGAAAGTCAATTGGGGTAAACTTTGAGTGTTTTCAGGATGAATCAAAATCAGGTCTTCATGGACAACTATTTAGGGAGTAACTGATAATCAGTACTATACGAGGGGGGGGTGTGTGAGAGAGAGAGAGAATCACCGAATCAGGCTTTATACTGTCTGCAAAGAGAATGGCAGAAAACCTCCCCTCTGCAATCAGCAAGCGATCAGTCTGGTTGCCTGCATCTGTGTGCGTCTCTTCCAAAAACAAAATATCTAACTTTTTCTGGGACAGGAACTCAGAAAGAGCCCTATGTTTTTTAACATCCCTGCGCCCACTAACATTCAGAGAGCCACATATAAAATTATCCCTCAGACCAGTAATCACCAGAAAAAATAAGAAAAAGACCAAAACAGGGGAAAAACCCCAAACCTCAAACAAAACCACCAAGTGTTCCTATATCTGTTAATCCCCAACATTTCCAATGGTCAAAGAGACATGGGCTTTGGTCACCACTTTATTCAGTCTATACCATGTCTGTTTGTCAAACTCAGACACAGAGACACATCTGATATTACATTGAGGAGACAACAGATTAAGATCAGGAAACCAATCTGCCACTTCTACACCACAGAATAGAATCATAGAATATCAGGGTTGGAAGGGACCTCAGGAGGTCATCTAGTCCTACCCCCTGCTCAAAGCAGGACCG